ACACTAAACTAATCCTAAATTAGTTAGGCACATATAGTGTCTCAGCTTAGGCAGTGGCTTTGTGAGAATGTCTGCTGTTTGGTGAGCTGATGGTATGAATGACACATTGACTTGTTTAGTGGATATAGACTCACAAACAAAATGATGTCTAATATCAATATGTTTTGTGCGGGCGTGATGCGTGTTGTTTTTTGTTAATTTGATGGCACTTTGATTGTCACAATTAATGGTGATGGGTGACGAAAAGCAAAAGATGTCGCTTAGTAATGAGCGAATGTAGATGGCTTCCTTACAGGCTTCACTTAGAGCCATGTACTCAGCTTCTGTTGTTGATGTTGCAACGGTTCTCTGTTTACGTGATTCCCATGACACTGCTGAACCACACATTTGGAAAACATATCCTGTATAGGATCGTCTGTCCACCAGATTACCACCATGATCGGCATCAGCAAATCCTATTAGATCACCACTATTGTTATAGGTCAGTTTCCTATTTTTTATAGCCTTCAGGTACCGATGAACACGTTTCGCAGCTCTCCAATGTACCGAGATAAAACTTCTTCTATACAAACACTACTTTGCCGAAGTTACTTTTGTAGGGCAAAATGTTTTTAATTATCAATTCTGAAGATGGATCAAGGTATTTTATTTCACTCAGCAATTGGGGGTACCTAATTGCACCTCTTAAAATTTTAAATAATATAAATTGTTTCACATCTATCATTAAACGCTAACTATCGATCGTCAAAAAGTAGAAATTTGCAACTTTTTAGAAATCGTTAATTTTGACAGATGAAACGTTCGGATTTAGTAACGTTTCAGTAGCGTTTCGATCCAACGAAGTGTCAAAATTTTAGTGGAATAAGGGCCGACGATCGACTCAAGTATATGGACGTAGTTATGCAAACCAGCCACATGATGTCAGTTTTGAGAAAAATGGGTTTCTTGTTTTTAGTAATAATTGTTTGTAGAATATATTTTATTTTATTTATTTATCAAGAAATTTTGTGAATTTACAACATTTGAGTTTAATTGCAACACTTTTAGGCTTCTCTGCACATAATTCGATTTTCACAGATTTGTGGGTTGGTTCCGGTTTGCATAACTACATCTGTACAGTTCTATGTTCGATTGAGCGAGTAGAATACCGTTTACAGTTTCTGTTGATCGATAGTTAGCTAAACTAAAATAGAACCGGAACTGTATCGTTTGACGCCATTTTGACACCGAGTAGAATAGGAAAACCACTAAAAGTTGTAGTTTCGTTCGGTTTCGTTCCGTTTTCGATTCGATTTAAACAAAATTTATTTAGTAGAATTGGCCCCCTGCCCCCTTACTCTCGAACGCAATCGCGACCGATCGACATTGCAATTGTGCCGTTCTATACTCTTGAGTGGGTACACTAGCGCCAGAGTATGCTAGTGAGCCAATCAAACGCGCGGAGCGGCACAATTGCAATGTCGATCGGTCGCAATTGCGTTCGAGAGTAAGGGTGCTGATGTAATTCACAGATATTTAATTATCTTGAATCTCAATCAAGGTAAGTTAAATAAACCTAAATTCTCGTTAATAGTGCCGAATTAAGGGGCTTCTAGTATTTTTTTAACAAACCCCCCAAAGCTTTTGTTTATCCTTAAAAATATGAGTTTAGTCAGAAGCTTGGCTTATTTTATTACTTGCATTTTTGAACACCGACACGCAAAAATTAATTTTTGGCTCTGAACCAGAGCGAGGCTTCCAATTGTACGGGGCCCATAGCATTTACTTCTTTTGCTACGTGACTAATCTGGCCCTGCGTGTTAACTCGACCATGATCAAAAGATACGATACGTATTACATATTCATCCAATTTAAACACCTTGAACTACTGATAATAGGTATGTTTCATTTAAGCTAACCCAACGAATACATCTTCCTATTTATATTCCTTTATTTATATTTTTAACTGCACAGAACTACTTACATAAAAAAGTACCAATTCCATTAAGACTCCCATCTCAGCGTAACTGGGGCAGGTGAATATTTTCCAGTAGTGATATATATAGGATGTTTTGCAAAACTGACCAAATATAACACTTACATACTTTTAGCTCGATAACGCGTTTATATTGGCAAAAGATACAACTGCCTTCGTGCTTATGTATTAGCTTTAGGACCATGCCATGAGAATTTTCTACCTAAGTATCTACCGAAATATCATAGAAAATATTTCGCCATACAAATACGTTTTAAAAGAAGCTGAAACTTTTATCCTGCTTTTAGGTGTACCATAAAAAATTCAAAAGCTTTTTTGGAGAATTTGAAAAATAAGAACTAATCATTTTATACCTCGAAATAGTCATATGTTGTGAATTTCATATAATATTTTGTTTAGCATGTTAGTAAAAAAAAATCTTATTTATATGGACTCTTATGAATTTTAACATTTTTTTATTATAGGCAGTATATATTTCTTTTTTTTTCTAAATAATTTTAGAGCAAATTAAATAAATTCGCGTAGTACATAATAGTAGCTCTTATTTTCAAATCTGATATCAACCAAAGCTCAAACCTCCATTTTTCATGATATCATTGTTCATTGAGGAACAATTCTGTTCTTTGATTGTAAAGTAGTTAATATTTTTTGAAATAGTAGTACCTATTTACATATAGATATATAGAAGCTTTTTGAAAATAAGAATCATCGTCATCATTAATAATCTCATTTTTTACACGAGATAAATTATTACTGACTTAAAATCGTAAAAATAGGAATTATAAGAATTAGGTATCTTTTAAAAACCGAAATTAAAGAAGAAAAATATAGATAAAATCATGATAGACTAGAGATTAGATAATGTAATAATAAACAAAAACTTTTCAAAAACCTTTTTCAAGGAATAGAGCCGACAACAAACTTTATAAAAGTGATAGATAATACTTTTAACAATAGCATTTTCTTGAATGTGTTTTATATAGTTTTTTTATTATTGTTACTTTACCGTTGAAATTTGCAAGCCTACAAGAATAAGGTGGAATAATATTTGGTTTTGAAGCATTGTTAAACATCCCTATGTATTGTAGATACATATTATTGCGCACATAAAATACTTTGACTTTAACTTTAAATAAGTTGCTTTTAAGTTAAATATTATAATACAAGAACAAGTGGAATATTTTTTTAAAGTTTGAAGTCGGTTCTATTTTTATATAACAGTTCATACTTAAAATATTTTTTATATTTAACATAGTGAGTCTTACATTTTTTTTTCAATTATTTATACTCATATTATAAAGAGGAAAGCTTTGATTGCTTGTTTGTTTGCATTGTATAGACCCCGAAACTATTAGAATGATTTATAAAAGTCTTTCATCTACGGGAAGCTACATAATACGCTGGAACATAGGGTAATTTAAGCAGGCGAAGGCGCGGGGAAACAGAAAGAAATTGGTTCATAGTTCAAGAAGAAATCGATGATCATACCTACTTTCATAAAAAATTATACAAATTCCTTGAATATAGGAAATCCTCCTTTAGGAATTTGAACAAATATTTTGTTTATCTCTGCAATAAAAAAAAAAACGAAAATTTAGGTGATATCTAATGAAAAGCGTATTTTATTTGGTTAATAAAAGAACTACTGATTCTATTTAGATGAAATTAGACGGGACCACCTCGATCCATGAAGGTGTCGAATAAAAAGAAATTTAAAAATAGGTCAACTATTGGCAGAAATAACGGTGAAAAAAAAATGAATGGAGACAGTGGCGATATCGACATCTAGTATTAAGTAATTATATTATTAGTGTTCAGAATCATGTTTCTTGATTAAGATCCAAAGTTCGCTTTTATTTTTTCTATGATCTCACCAGTCTTATTGGAAGTTAGCCAAAGACAGCAAATCCATGTCAGTAAAATAACAGAGTAGAAACTTTTTAATATAAAGAAAGTAAAAACTATAGAACCTTTTTACTGTAGGTGCGCATTTTGAAATCCAACCAACAGTTAAATTACGTTTATTTTAAACATTCAAGGTCGTACCTACTCAATCGGATTAGTTCATTCAACTACGCATGGAGTCATGACGTTTTTATTGATAGGTCACAAAGATATTGGGACATCCCAATCTCAGGCCTTTAAATACCAATGTTTGATTGCTTGCGAAAGTGTTGACGTTACATTTTTATTATAATTCAATTAACTACATTATTCAATTAACCGTTAAATAATATCGATGGTTAAACGTAAGAGTAAACCTGGCTAACGTATGAAATGCGTTCTAAAAGGTTTCCTGTGGTAAAAAGATTAGTTCAAATTTGATGGATAAGTAAGTAAAATATGAGTTGTGGGCTTAAACGATAATAGGTATTAATTGTGTGAATTTTAATCATACTTTAATCCTAAGTCTTGTGCATGTTGGAACGATGAGTCGATAACCTCGGTCTTTATAAGGATTCCTCTGTTAATACGATTATGTAAGAAGCAAACCATTCCTATTTATAACTGGTTCTAATTATTTCTACATATTAAGTTTTATTTCCTTTTCATTAAAAACCATGTGTAAGTAAGTGTACTTTAAAACTTTAACACTGAGAAGGTATACCTTTGATTTACACATACATTGGTATATAAATTATTTGACTATATATTAAAAACTCAAATAAAGACATTTACTTCGCGTAAATTTGTGTACATCACATTTTTGTTTAAGTTTTCTTCGGAAAGCAATAAAAAGCTTTTGTAGCGATTGTCTCCGGCCTAATATGTTATGCTGCTTGCTATGTTATGATGCTTAGGCATCCAAACAAATACCCGGCATTGTATTTGTTGGTAGGTATGGTACGCACGCATCATAACATAGCGTGGACAATTCCTCAAGTGTATGCCACCTGCCACAGAGGGTGCTGGGAATACGCGCAGTGCGCCGTTCACGAAATCAGCCGAGCAAGAATCGATGTCAGCCGACGGCCGCGTGCTCATTACCGGATCCCTACCACAGTACCAATATCTCGCTTTCGCTACGCTGTAACCACACGCGACCTCAACAGTCCACGTTATCGTCTCGTCGTTTTCGTCTCGCTGCATATACTTACTCGGAATTGCTTCAAATTTTAATACAAAATCAATTTCGTATTCAACAGTGATTTTTTCCCCATTTAAAATGAACAAAATAAGATCCGGTGTGAAGTAATCAACAGCGCCATATTCAAGTTGGACTTGTTTGTACACAGACGTGATTGCCGCTCCAAACTGTATAATTACTGTGTGATATTCCCAGTGAGATGTTGGGGGAAAGTGTTGATTAACAGGTTGACTATAAACGTTACTTTAGACTTATTGCGAATGTGTATTGAAACGTTCATCGCTATCCACGGGCGCACTGCTATGCGCCACGACTTGGTGCATTTCATAAGACACACTTCCTCTGACCACTACTGCGAAGGAAAGCTTTAGTTTTTCCGTAGGGTAAGTGTCTAGTGTAATGGTAAAAAAAATAAACATAAAATAAATACTTCTTTAAAATAAAATACATTCAACAAACTCTTTTTTTTTTCTATTACTATAAAAGAATTTATTGCAAACAGTGTGAATTTGCAACAATATTTATTAAAACCTTAGTTAACAAACAAGCTTCTAGAATTTTACTTTTGCGATGTACAGAAAACACATAATGATAGATAAACAGACTACTAAATACATATTAATGAGTAGATTAAGAAATATCAACGTGTAGGAAAATACTCGACCAATTACGAGGGTCAAACTGAAAGTTCTTAGAACTGGCCACTTATAAACAATATAATAAAAAAATAATTCTAAAATTTGAAAATATAACTCTTTGCCAATATTACTGAGTATATATTTCATTCATTTGTCATTTGTTTTACGATTTGGCGGCAAATTGAAAATTGTCTGTGTCACGTCATCATGAATTTAACACGAGAAAATTTTCGTGCAATGATTTTTTATGACTTTCGATGTCATTTAAGTCAACAAGAAAGTTATGATAGACTACGATTGGCCTTTCACGATGAAGCCCCATCTCGTGCGACTGTTTACAACTGGTTTAATGAGTTTAAACGTGGTCGCACTAATCTCACTGATGATTTACGTGAGGGACGGCCTTCTACGGCGACGACTGAAGATAACATCTGTGTTGTGCGGCGTATGATAGAGACTGACAAAAGAGTGACCTATCAACAGATTCGGACAAGCTTAGGCATCGGTATGAGTCAAGTGCACAAAATCCTCCACGAACATTTAGCGGTCAGGAAGCTTTGCGCCCGGTGGATACCTCATAATTTGACTGAGGCTCAAAAACTCCATCGTGTGGATTGGTGTCGTAAAATGATTGAAAGATTTAACGGAGGTGACTCAAATGCTGTGTTCGACATACTAACAGGTGACGAAAGCTGGATTTACTGTTATGATCCTAAAACCAAAAGACAATCTGCTCAGTGGGTGTTTCCTTTCGAGGAGTTGCCAACTAAAGTGAAGAGAGATCGAAGTGCGGGAAAAAAAATGGTGGCCTCGTTCTTTGGAAGGATAGGTCATTTTGCAACAATTGTGTTAGAGGATCAAAAAACAGTTTCTGCAGAATGGTACACTACCAATTGTTTGCCACTTGTCTTGGAAAAAGTTCGAGAGAAACGACCTCGCAGTAGGATCCTCCTTCACCACGACAACGCCTCGTCGCACACCGCCAAGCGAACGATCGACTATTTGGCGACATCAAACGTTGAATTACTGGGTCACCCGCCGTATAGCCCCGACCTCGCGCCTTGTGATTTTTATTTATTTCCAAAAATTAAAGAAAAACTTAAAGGAAAGCGGTTTATGAATGCTGAAGAAGCGGTGGCTGCGTATCGCGATGCCATTGAAGAGACCCCTAAGGACGAATGGGCAAAGTGCTTTTCCCAGTGGTTCCATCGCATGCAGCGGTGTATTGACGTGAATGGACAATATTTTGAAAAGATATAATAAAACTAATAACTGGCTAATGTAATCAGTTTTTGATTTTCTAAGAACTTTCAGTTTGACCCTCGTAATAAACTGACGCACGATACGGTCAGTTGTTGTGCTGGGTGTTGGTGAAACAAAGGAAATAATTTAAGTATCTATATTTTATGGCTCGATACCACTATACAGACAATTCATATTATAACTTGTTACAATTGTGTAAATACATAAGCCTCTACTCAAAACTTAAAGACTGAATATTAATTGAAATAACTTGTTTAAATACCTAACTAGTATATTGTCACCATGGAAATAAACGTCGACAATTTTTTTTTCTATTATTGAAATGAACTTGTGTTACGATCGTTATCTTATTCGAATGCTGTTATCAATTAAATTTCATTAATATTCGAAGAATTCTCTGAAATATTACTAAGATAACTTATTGTAAATATATTGTTAACCTTATAAGTCAGTGATAAAAAAATATTGCATTATCTGCTTGTGTTATGCTCCAAGAACATTAAAGTAGGTATGGCACTGGCACTTGATCAAACTGCTATTAACTGATCATTAAAAAAACTAAAATCAAAAAGGAAAATCTGTTTAAGTACAGTTTGGAACGTGCTTAACTATAAAAACTCAATTTAGAAACCGGGTGTATGTCAATCATATATATGTAGGTATAACTTTATTCCCATTGTTGACAAAGTGACATACGATACAATTCCAGTTCTATTTTAGCTGGAATTGTATCGGATGTCACTCAGTAGAATAGAAAAACCATTAAAAACAGTAGTTTCGTTCGGTTTCGATCCGTTTTCGATTCGATTTAATCAAAAATTATTTAGTAGAATTGGCCCCCAGGTCGCTAACTGCTGTAAACAAGAAAGTATACCTACAGATTTTTTACTCTTATACGTGACTATAAAAACTTAGTTCAATTTCAAAAATAATTATAATTTGGTCACCATAATTAAAATCTTTCATGCAAGCCTATTTAGATGTAATATGTGTTTGTATCTGTGACTTTGTGTTTGTCCAGTTCAGTTTGTCTTACTATCAACAACTTCGTTCCAAATAAATATTGTACTAAGAGTATGAGTTAATTAATTGATTTATTTAAAACTATATTATCTGTTTGGGTTCAATGGCAGTTATTGACTCAGAAACTACTGGAATGATTTTAAAATTGCGAGCTAATTTAAAATGATTCGCGGCTGACATAAGCTTTTTGGCTGACATATTATTTTATTATTTACGTTTAGAAATTACTTAGTTCGCATAAACAGCATCGTGTAGGTATTGTCCTAGTGAAATGATGAAACACACGGCACAGAATATAAAATTGTAAAAAGTGCTCTCCGAGTTTATGATGCCTATTTTAAAAACTCAGCCGTAATTACCTACCAATGACACAAATATGAAATCAGGATACAGTCTCTACTGAGAAGGACGTAACCACCGGTAACGAGGCCGCCTCATATTTCTCAGAATAATGGGAATAGAAAACGTAAAAATATTTCAATTGGCAAGCTTTACTTTTACACGTCACGGTGGAAAACGTTTCTTTGGAAATTTTCCTTCCAAGTGCACTACTTAATAAACAAAGAGCAGGCATTATACCTATCATACTCGTCTGGTATTCAAACGAGCCTTCTTTGTTGCATCAAAATGTATTTACCTACGACACGATTAAAATACAGAATTCTATTTTAGTGTGGCATTGGTGAAATGCGCGTTTTTGCGTCGCAAGATCAAAACAATACAACCGCGAAAGTTTAATGTGATTTTTTTAAATTCTGCGTTTGTTTGAGATAACACACGTGGAAAATTTATTTTAAATATTCAAGTATGCTTATTTTATCAGTATAAATGGTTATACGCTGATACCTACCATAAGAAATTACTAAAAACGTTCACTGATATAATCATTGTGGAGAAAAGCATTCTTCAAAGCTAAGCAATTTGTCAAAACAATTTGTACATTGGAATTTTGTGAATTGTCCACCTTTTGGAAAAAAGTGATTTGTCCACCTTAATGATTAAGTAAGTACTTTCTTTCCTTTCGATCGAAAGTAGAAAATTAAACCATATTCTAATCCTTTTGGTAATCGGGCAATTCAGGTACAGAGAAGGTTTGATTTTTATGTTATAGTATTGTGATGGCCTATATGGAACTACCTCACACATTATAAAATCAAAAGATACAGTAACATTACAGCAGTACTGTAAATATTAAATCAAAGGGAGCAATTCACTTTTCTGTCGGAGTTTGTTTCGCTTGTTTTGTATGTCTAAATATTTTTAAAATAATTTAATTTAATAAATGTAAACGTATCCATAAAATATTTTTTTTTTTTATTATTGTGAATGTGTCCAATAGTATTGTTTTGAAGGTAGATATACTCTTAATTAAAAAGGCAATCAACATCTTAGTATTATCTGAACATGGAACTTGTAAAGGGTCCAAAACGTCAATAAAAGAAAAATAAAAACGCGATGAAACTATTTAAAAGTTATTTCATATATGGACAGTGCGTATAAAAATATAAGAAATCAATTAAGTATGTTTTAGAAAACTCCAGAAATGTTAACATAAATAAAATATTACCTATATTTTTTTTGATCAACAAGCATGAAATTGTTAATACGACATATTTCTCACAATCGACTATATTTTTTGTGTACAATTCATCAAAACGCTCATTCAGTTTCAGAGTAATCATAAAACTCGATAAATTCTGAAAAGTTCACAAAAATAATTCCTTATAGCGATCCGTTGTTAACTGAAATTGGAAAATGAAATTTCACGGGGAAAAGACACAGAGAACAGCATTATATCTAAAAGAAATCGCCCAAGTGCGAGTGCCCATGTAGGGTTCCGTACCATTATCCATAAAAAAAAACATGTTTGTTGTTTTCTATGGAGTTGTACGAAATTTTCGAGTTAAATACGATTGATCGACTATTAATCGTAAACTTAAGTGTGACAGTTTTCCATTTAACTTCGTTATAATTAGGTACTGTTGCCTTTACTGCCGTAACGTTTTAATATTTAGCAACGACCGTTTACTTGGTAGAGGGGGAGGACATTTGTCTCTAACGAAAATTAATTCTTTAAAGCCTAAAAATTTTTCAGCCTTTCCACACCGCAATGTTTTTGAAAGACCCAACCAACGATACGCCACACTATGGGTAAGAAGAAAAAAATATTACCCCTTGTCTACATGTAGGGGAGGTAACCTAAAAATATTTTTTTCATACTTTACTTTACCACTTTGTCGGCGTTTACTCATGAAAAATAACAACTTTCTAGTACCAAAAGTTTTTGAGCTAAACCGCGGACGGACAGACGAACAGACGGAAACGCGAAACTATAAGGGTTTCTTATTTACTACGGAACCCTAAAAATACATGAAAAAACTTTAGTTTACTTAACGCTGTTTCAATAGCATTTTTTATAAACAAGTTGATATTTTTTCCTGAAATAATTATGAAATAGT